TCAAACATTAAGAAGTTGGATTTAGAGATGTTTTCTAATTAAACAATAGATAACTGATTTCATATCTCATCTAATTTAACATCAGGCATAGACATTAATATTGGAATTAAATATATAAGCTGTAATTGCAAGTTTAGAAATAACTGTACAGATTAATATAGTCACACTAAATCTTATCATAACTTAACAAACGAGATTAAATTATAATAATTAATGTTATCTACTTTTTATTAATTATTGTTCTTGAAGTAACAAGTTTTAAGCTTCTGCTTCTATTGTTTGATCGGAAAAACTTCTAAAAAACTTCTTTATGTCTGATTTAGAGAAAAAAGGGAACAAAAAAAAAAAACAAAAATCAGACTCGATAAAGTTCTTCTAAATTTCACTAGCTTTCATAAAAAAAGGCTAGTACTTGGCTCAAATTTCAAGACTGTAGCCTTTCTTGAAACATGAAATTTGTTTGATCCCACCATGCATTTCGCGGTGATATCTCTCGATCTCTTGCGAAAAGGAAGGTTGACTATCACACACGAGCCATCTGAAAAGTTATCTGGTGCGACAACGACGACAGTCGACTAAAGTACGGCGAGGAGTGGCTTCCTTACAGGAAAAAAGGAAAAAGAGGAAGACGTTTGCTCGTCTTACGTTAGGCTCTTCGATTCTCTTGGAAGTGTGGCTCGCGAAAACGGGCATTACTTCGAGAGGGGAAGCTCGAGGAAGCGTGAAGCACCGTCTACCTATCTTTTTCTTCCTCTTCCTTTAGTGGAGCGACATATCGATTCCTTATCGTTAACAAAGTTTGTACACCGCCTAGTCGATATCGCATTGCCTGTGATCGCATTGCCTGTGATCAAGGAAGCCTTTTCTTCCTTGATAATAGTAAGATTTTTTATCAAAGAACTTTATATCAATCACATAAATCATCGATTTGGATATATATTATCGAGTCGCAACATTAATTCTTTTTTACTTTCTATATAGATTTATTTTCGTGATACTGCATGAATATCTATGCCGCATTAATGAAAACGAAATAAATCGGACGTTTGAAAAATGGCGTAGCAGCGCGTTTTCGAAAACATTTCGCGTCGAAATCGAAGCGCACCATATTTCGTGTATATCGATAAAAATTGGTGATATTTCGAAAACGAGGCCGCGTTGACTTCGCAAAAATTTGCAAAATAATTCCGCGTATTCAGTCTGTAGTATAGCGAAATATCAGTATTTTATCACATAGAACGTATATTCGGCTCGCGCTGAAATGGATTTTACGTATTCAAATCCAAAACATAGGGACTCTGCCGAATCGAATTATTCTGCGCGTACACACGTATAATGTACATTAACCCTTGCTATTGGACGGATGTCTACCTCGGGTTATGCACTAACACGATATAATTATCGTAACATCTATACCTATGGACATGATCGAAAATGCACCTAGCTTAGAATCGGCATAAACACGATATCATAACTAATTTATAGTGACGATCGTTACGATTGCATAGTAATGATAACATTAATAGCAAATAACGACATATTAGCAATTATTGTATTAACGCAATTATTGCGTTAATAATGACGAACAATGGAAATACGGATATATATTTCATCGAAAGATGCGAACGTTGCGTTCTACATAATCCGCCTCGATGTGACATTTTGTTCACATCATTAACTCACATCATCTACTCTTGCATTTATCGATTAACCATTCCGCGTGCAATCGTAATTCTCGGGACACACTACTTTCTGGGCTTGTCAGACTCGGGTAACTTTGAATAGTCGTAACTTTGTTGAAAATCAATATTTTTTAACACATTTTTCCAGAGATATAGAAAAGCTGTAAGGTAACGCAATAAAATCGAAATCTGCAAACAATTTTCCAAATGTGCTCGAAACTTTTATGAAAGTTGACGAACGATCGAATATTCGTGCGGGTTTTCACAGGCCCAATATTGTACTCTCGAAATTTTTTAGAGAAAAATTTCACTTGAAGAATAGAGTGAAACATCGAGTCACTCGAAATTGAAGAATGGATCTGATATATTGCACTGTCACAAGAATTCACTCTGAATCATGCATCTCGTATGGAGTCAGAACCCTCACTCCGAGTTTGAGAGAGAATGAAATATTCACTCTTGCAATTTTGAGTGGCTGTATTTCTACTGTCGCTTCGAGTGAATATATTGCCACTTTTAGCTCGTTTTTAGTGAGATTCCATTCCAAGAAATTCAAAGAGCGCACGGAAGGGGTTAACGACATTAGACAGAACCAGATTGATCAACCAGAAGACTCGCAAGTAAAGAACTTTGTGCTGTTTTAAATCACGTGTGTCTTTTGTGCGAAATAAAATATAATTTATAAAAATGGATTAGATGCGCGCATATGTGTGTGTGTGTGTGTGTGTGTGTGTGACTAGGATAAAAAAATATACATGATAAAAGTAAAGCAAATATAAGCACCGTGAAAAAAAGTTATCGTTTGCGAGATTGAACGTACCTTCGAAAGCGTTAAATAGACTGCGCGCTCCAACACGGGCATGCATCTGTAAACGAACACGGCGCGCATCGTGACACCGACTAACCAGGACCCGAGCACTGTGTGTCAGTGCACAGGTCGCACAGAGAATTTCTCAAGTGGTTCTAACCAGCCCCGGTCCTCGGGGTAGTCTCGCGTAAGAGCCGAAGCTGCCGGCCAACTCGATGAAAACACGGTAAGCCCTTAGGAAGCTAAAAGGTGACAAAATGCGAGTAACCGGCGTTGAGACGCCGAAATGATGGCGGAGTATCTCGAGGCGCTTCACGGCTGTACTTCCCGGTAATATCGTAAAGCCACCAAAGGCACACAGGGTGTATTGCGCGAAATACGTGACGCTGTTGGACGGTTATTACTGTAGTAAACTGCCGCTACAAGAGAATAACACGGTCACAATGCCGATCAGGTAGAGCGACGCTGCGCTCCACCCTCGGAATTTATAATTTTTTAGGCTTCTCTGTAATCCCTACGAGTTGTTCCCGATCGATGTCGATCGAGATCACAATTGGTGCGACAAGCAGTCGCAACCGCCGGACGTTATTGGACTTCGATTTAACTTTCAACTACCGTTACTACCGTTTTCGCTGACACGTCGCGCGACATGTTCCTCTTATTTCTCAGGAAATCTTCCCTTTTGCATTTCCAGTTTATGTCCCGAATGTCGCGCTCGGTGAGAAATTGCCCGCACTCGCCGTCTGCGAGAGTTGACGCAGTAAATATACGCGAGACGGATCTGTCGACGCGGATAAGTTTGAACACTCGGTAGTATAATCGAAACACAGACATCGGATCCCAAGGGGTACCGCAGTTGTTTATTCGAGACCATCGCGTCTGTCCCTTTTCCGTCATCGCCCTCACCGCGTCTCCCGTCTCGTCTCACAGTCCCGTCGTTCGATAAAGTCGCGGACGCAGAAAGAGACGCAATCGTCGCCGACGAGGGGCCGGGCGTTGTGAAATTCACAGAACGATACGGCTGCGAGAGCAACGTGCATAAAGGGCACTTTCGCTTAAATTATGCATAGAGCATGAAAAATTCCCACGGCGAGCCTGGCTCCGACTTCCACCGGCTGCATAAGGAGATTCGCATTATCGTGCATGTTGAATGACAGGAAGCGAGAGGGAGCCCGAAGGATGGCCGAGAGGCTGGAGAGCAGCCGGCGCGGTATGAAATTTTTATCAGCAGTACACGGCGGAAAGCATGTCCGGAATCGGAACCGCTGGGTCCCCGTAGAGCATCGCGAGCAAGAGCGAGCGAGCAAGAACGAGGAGCACGCGAACGAGCCCGCGGAAGGTTCAAGTTGGATATTACATTGTGACATTCGTCCCTCGTGTCCCGACAACCTGTCGCACATCGACAGGCCTCTATTAACTAATCCCGCCTAGCGACATTCACTTGACTCGTCAGCTTTCTCTTTTGCTAATAATTAAAGCGTTAGTGCAAACGCAGCTGCTTTGTTTGTTATCTCTTCGTGATATCGAAATATAAATTGCTCTAATTGAAATAAAAAGCATTTGGAACAGGGAACTATCAAAACGATATAACGGATATCTGAACGTTGTATTCGGTTATTCGGAAAATTCATGCCGACTTTTTTCAAACAACGCTGCAGAGAGGTAGTGTGCTATTTTCTTTGCATGTAGATATATCTTTATTCAAGCACACACACATATACACATATGCAGTGTTTTGTTCCATATTCGGTTTTTCACCATCCCTCGCGCAATTTAAATCGATTCCAGAAGAGCGACGCGAATTTTTGTTCGAATAGCACAAAGCAATGAAGACCACCACTGTGTTTATACAGGAAGACTCCATTAATGCTGTTCCATTTTCTAGCATAGTGACTTCTAAAATTATGACTGTTGATTATTCGAGGAATCGACATTTTCTCGAATAATCTACAGTCATAATATAAGATAAAAATACCAAGATCTGGACATATTTTCCCTCAAAGAGAAACATAATAATGGCAATTATAAAGTGACAACTGTATAAGTTTTGTGTATGTAGAATTATGCATACAGTTTAATAAACTATTTTGTTGTTATTGGAATTAAAACTTTGGTTGCTATCACCAAATCACCATCCAGGATACCTAATCCTGGATATTCTTATTACTTTGGACTTTAAATACGAATATTGAAACTTTCAATATAAAATATATACACATACATCGAATATATACATATAGATTCCATGTTAAAAGTTTAAATATTTAAAAACGGAAACAATAAGAATGTCCAGAGCTAAGTACATGTCCAGACATTAGTACTTTTTACTTACGATTATTCATAATATGCGTCTGATTCCGAAAATTTCATGCATCACTATGCTAAGGAACAAGAGACAGCATTAATGGAATCCTCTGTACACCTCATACATTTTAGTCAGCGCGAATATCCTATCACTCGTTGTAGGCAAACCACTATTTACAGAAAGATCGTTCGTTTGTCTGTTTCAGGCCGATGTTGAAACAGATCAAGAACTCCGCGGAGTCGCACATCGTGCTGGACTGTTCCACCGAGAGGATCTACGACGTGTTGAAGCAGGCGCAGCAGATCGGGATGATGAGTGATTATCACAGCTACCTTATCACCTCTCTGGTGGGTACCCAGATTAAACGCGATTAACGATCGACTTGCCGTTCGTCATCGGTTACGAGGTAATCCCAGGTAGACGTAACCGCCAAATTGTACGAGGCGTATCGCGCTCGTAAGCCTAATTCTCGCGACCTTCATCGCTCATGACACCTGCGGCCTCGGTTTCGCAGAGTTACCTCTTCCGCCGAAAGCCGCGCGCCGAAAGACGCGCCGTCGACGACCGAGGGCCGATAACTTCACCGTCGGAATATTCGAGTACCTCGTAAATTACCGTTAAGAAGAGCGAGGGAATCGATTACCGTGAGAACGGCGGCGCTGGCCAGAGATTGCTTTCCGTTGTCTCCGCTGCCCGCCGTGATTGAAGATGCAGCTGAACGCGGAAACGGTTCGATGTAGCGTTAAATGACATTCGCGGCGTTGCTCCGCGGTATTATTTCTGCGGTGAGACAAATAACGACGAGTCTTCCTTGACGTAAATATTGAAAATAAATTGTCATTTCAAGAGATCGATGACGATTCGCAGAATTATATTTTTCATGGGGTTATCAACTTTAACCCTCCGCGTACAAACATTTTTTGAGATATACAGTTCAGTCTGGGTCTGTCAGGCAACTTTGAACTACCATATAATTTTATTAAAAATTAATATTTTTGGATTGATGTTTCAGAGATAAGTTATAAGTAGCACGGTAAAATAAAGACAAACAAATTCGCGTTTTTTTTAAATTTTCCCGAATTCTTCACGACAGTTAGTGAGCGATTGAATGTTGATTCGAGTTTCACGAATCCAATCCCGACGTGAAAATTTAAATTCGCCTTTCCCAGATCTACGACCTCGTGAACATAACGAAAATATCATGCAAGCGCGAAGCGCGCAATGCTACTCCCAAAGAGTAACTTTATTCGACCGAGTAAAAAGTGGAAACGTCGGCCAGCTGCAATTAAAATTGGAAGCTGTCTCAGGATAATTAGTAATTTACAGTCGCTTCGGCGACGCGAACGGAAGCCGGATGGCATCGTGTCGGACGAAACGCCGAGCCGTCGCCGTCGCCGTCGCCGTCGCCGTCGCCGTCACCGTCGCCGACGAGGACGACGTTTGCGCGACGGCAATAAGCGATAAAAAATAAATAAGGCTTTAAACGGACACGCTATATAACCGCGAGCAGTGCAATTTATCTTGGCGCCCCCTCTACCAGATTTCAATTTAGATCCATTAAAATGTAAATTAGCGAGGGTATTTGTTCAGGCGCCGCAGAGAATCGAGATACGCTTTCTTCCAGCTTCTGTCCGTTGGCTCTGCCGACGATGGTCGGTTTGTTTCACATGGACAACGTGGACCCATACCGATGATGACAAATCCCGTCGATCGTCATTTCCCTCCTGCAATCTCCGGAAAGATAACGAGTAACTGCAAGAGATCTTTGTTTAAGATAATTAGTTGGCCGAGAACAGCGATCTTCAGTTTGTTAGACAGCGGAAGTTCGTTCTGAAAGCGATTGCTTCATTTCGCCGACGCGACGACGTTTCGACTCCGCGCCCGCGAGAGAAGTCGCGTTCTATCTCAATTTAACGTTTGTCGCAAACACCCTAAGGAAGATCGATGAAGTCGGTCGTGGATTCTATTAATTATTTACGCTCGCGCCGCGGTCGCGTGGCAGTGAAAATCGCATCGTGTTACTTAGCGCGCACATTATCGACCCGCGCTATTAATTACGTACTTTACGACGTTCGTCTCGTATATTAATTATTATGGGCGCAATACCACGAGGAGGGCTAAGTGCGCGCAGCGCTTTCGAAGCGTAATCGCGCGAACGGCGCGATCTAATAGCGAGAGTGATAAATTGGACGTGATCGGATTCGTCGCACCCGGGAGGATAAGCACCCGGGGAGAGATGAAAAGGATAAGGGGCTGCTTAATAATTGCCCAATGTCGCGGCCGATTTCCATCGCGCGCGGGAACACAACGGTGTCTCGGTTGATTCCCGAGACGATATGTTCCGAGTCGGAGCTATTTATTTTCACTCACGTCGGCCAGTCGTCAAGGCTCTCCGAGGGAAAAATTGGCCATCATCCATCAACCTGACCTTTCCGCGCCACGATCAGGAAGTCTGCATGGCTGTTACACGTAGGCGGATATAGGTACACACACACCGTGGCGGCGGCGCCGTTTCCCGGGGCGGACGAGAGCATTAATGAATCTTGCTCGGTCACTTCGCTTGGCTTTCGACGAATTACCTTTCATCGAATTAAGTTCGCCCCATGAAACAGTGATTTCGCAATGAAATTATGGTGTCCGCCGTTCTCGCCGCAGAAGGAGAGAGATACAGAGAAAGAGAGAGAGAGAGAGAGAGAGAGAGAGAGAGAGAGAGAGAGAGAAGCGACGATGGATCTTGCAGCATCCTGTTCCGTCGAATTTAGAAACGCCCGCGCGTCCTCGCGTCCCCTGCGCGCTCATTACGGTTATTATGCCCGTTACGGTTACGGTGATTGTTATAGTCGTTATAGCCTTGGCCGCCATTAAGGTTCTTATTACGAGCATCCATCGCTCGCGATGATACGCCGCAGGATTTTCGCCTTGCACTTTGGGGATACCCCGAAGCCCGAGCTCGAGAATACGCTGCCGCGGCTTGAAATCGAATACATCTTCCGAGCGAGGTTTCGCGCGATAAAGCGCTGTTATCTTTTTCTTTTCTCCACCTGGAAATCGCGAAATATTTTGAACGACTCGAAGGCTTAGAAAGGTCTTTAGGTTCAGATGCTCCTTTTAGCTTTAGAGGTTTCCTTTCTTTCGAAAAGATGAATTTGTGATCGATTTTCCATCTCCCTACACACAGAAACATGCATACTACTTTCAAGTGGGTGTCAGTTGTTTCGAGTATTTTAGTATTTTCGAGTTCGTCACAAGCATCAGATTTATTCGAAATACATGAATTCTAATAACTTTGGCATCTCAACCAAGAATAATAAATTAAAACAAAGATTTGGTTCGCTCACACTATATAGAAACGAATCAATTCCTTCTTGGATAAAATTTTATAACATTTTTGCAAAGAGAAAACGGATTCTTCTTTCGGGTGATAAAGTGCTTTTCTCAAATTTGTTTTAAAACTGATATAAAAAAACATTCTTTGATGAAAATAGCCATTACTTAAAGGAAGGAAAACGAATAATTGTTTTTCTTTTCTGATCTGAAGATAGAATAATACTTTTCTGTGTGTACGTCATCGTCAATTTATAAACCTTGTCTCCTATACGCGCGGAAGAAACGATATTCTGTCGCAAGGGGTTGTTTGTTTCCGTTTGTTTTCCCTTTCTCTCCCTCTCTCTTGCCTTTCTTCGAGAGGTAATGCAGTGTAAGATAATAGTAAATTAATCGCGACGATCGCGCGCGTTCGTTATAAGTGTAATCGATTGCAAATTAAACGTTCATGCTCCCGCTCGGAAATATTCTGCCTGCCCGACGTACACACTACTGTTGTTCGCGCGGTGCAGCGTGCGGACACATCTGCCATGCACGAACCATCTGTCAAACGGCTTCGATGATACTCTCCGCGCCCACGTACATACTCGCGCGCGCGTGCTGTTCCCGTTTCAAACAACAAGTTACGAGCGAGCGGAATTTAATGACAGACCCCGGCAGTACCTCGCGAGAGCAATGCGGATTCGCTGTGTGAAAAGCGATATTCTTGCCGGATCCGTCGCCATATCCCGCGGGTGCTGATAATACGTCGAGGAAAAAACAACAGAGCCGCGCATTCTCTTTGTGTTTAGTCTTGCAGGTGAACAAAAAATCCGATAGCATGCATATTTACACGCTCTTTCGCATCGAGATGAATGCGAGAAGAAGAGTGGAGCGCGGCGATCCGTTTCTCACGGCTTCGCTGACGAAAGGTGTGCGAAGGATATTCCATGCTGCGAGAGACTGCAACTGCATGATCGAACCGCGATCGATAGCTATCGATATTCGCGCGTGACTCGCAGCCGCGATGTGTACGCGTAACGCGAAAACGGACGTGCATCGCGACTTTGGAGCGAGGCGTTTGCAAAATTTCGCACGGGAGAGACGCGCATCACGGTGACGAGGAACAATGACGATAACTTCGACGAATCGTCATGGGAAGAAGGAGTCCCACCGGCAGGTTGCACGAGTGACTGCAATAACAGGGCACTCGTTGTGTTTCCTCGCGGCGCGTTTTCCTCTACATTGCCCACGCTTGAGCCAGCCGCCACACCTTTTCCGACAGCAATAACTGACGCATACACGTGCGATATTATATCGGATATTAAGCGAGAGTAAGATAATTGAATCCGCGAAGTAAGTGGAACATGGCGATGATTTTCCGATGATTAAATAAGCGATATTGTAAGCTCGTTACAAACTAACGAGTATTCATAATAAATATTCATAGCGGCTGTCAGCTGCATCACTCGGGCTTGCAGACTGAAAATTCTTCCGCTGACTCGGAGTGGATTTTTCTTCGATGACGAAACTCGACTGGGTGTCTTCCTTCACACAATTTTTTCCCTTTTTCAAAAATGTTAGAAATATAGAATACCAAATATCACGTTTCGAGAGTGATACCATGAAAAAAAAAAGCATGAGGTATTCTAGATTCGTTTTTCAGCTTCAAATTCCACGGAAACAGAGGCGATGATCTCTCTCGGTAAAAATTTTTACGGGAATCTGCATGGGAGATGACTCAATTGAATAATCCGAAATGTTGGGCATATATCTTGGTGGCGCGATTCTTCCGTCAAAACCAATTTCGCGTCGAGCGGTACTCGAATTTTGGAACACCCTACATATTATTAATCGTAGAACGTATTCACGCTTCCAAATGACCCTCTTCATGGTCCTCGTCTTCATGTTGCCTCTTCCGAGCCCGGGGATCGTTGCACAACGATCGCCAGAGGAGCAGTAAACGGCAGAAGCGGTGGGAGGGAGGGAGTAAATTCATAGACACGCGAGGGGAACACATTCTCATCAGTTGCGTTATTGTGCGTCATTCTACGTCCCGGTTACAATATCATTGTCGCGGCGCACCACGTCCCGAAGGAGCGGACCGGACCGGACGTAGCCCGAGGCGTGACGATGATCGATCGGCGGTACGGCCGATCGATGCATCGGCATCGACACCTACGGCGAACGTGCCGCCGAGTGAAGCGTGCCGATTTACTCGCGAAGACAGCGGATCCGGAATACCGGATTTATCTATCATGTTCCGGATGCGGGACAAAGGATAACAAATGGCCGCGGCGGGCTCCTCCGCGAGTATTCGAGAAGACGGGGACGCGGACGCGCCTTCGAGCTACGACTTTAAATCACGTCGGCCACCAGCGTCACCGATATAGATAACGGTTCGGCGAGAAGGTACGCTCCATACTTGAGTTATCTTTATTCCTGCCGATAGCCGGCAGGAATACATCGCGAAGGACGCAAATTCGCACGTGCTTCCCACTCAGGTGCCAGGCGCGCCCGAGAAAGAGACTATAAATGGCGATGCATTGTGCCCTATAATGTATTAGAGTTCGCGCATCTCTACCGCGCGTTTCATGCGAAAAATAAGAATTTAGCTAGATTTACCAAACATCTGGTGAAATATGAACGAATCAGAATTCCGGTTGAAAAGTTGCCAGAATTTTGTTCGTGTTAACAATATTTCTGGTTAATCAAGCAAAATTTCTGGTTAAATTTTTTGGTTAAATTTCTGCTTAGATTTTCATAAATCTTGTTAACTCGAACAGAATTATGGCAACTTCTCAACTAGAATTCTGACTTATTTATATTTCATCCAATCAAATTTCTTTTTTCCATGCACAATTGCTTTAATACATTACAGAAGATAATATAGCTCGTTTTATACAGAATGAGCCACATGGACGTCCCAATTAAACTTGATTAACATATTGCAATAACATGGGACTGCACAAACTGCAGTAGCATGTTCCTCACGCGCTTGTACACATATCATTGTACACGTGTGTTTATTTAATAATGCGAGAAATGTCGCGATTGTCTTTCGTCGTTGCAGTAGCACAGCTACTCAATTCAATTCAATATCTTAAATTGCTTCCGTTTGCAGAAAGGAAAGTTATGTGTGAGGTCGGTGAGTTTCTTTTCGCGTGAAGATTTTAATAATACATTCACATTCGCGTGGGGTGATTTCAAATAAAAGCAACGCGAGGGAATAATGTCATGCCACGTGAAAGGCGAAACTCGGGACGGTTCGTGTTATAAGGAAACTCGTGAAAGAAGAAGATGGACATACTACACACACATACACACATAACAGAAGTAATTCCCAGGAGATCCTTTCGTACGAAAATCCCGAGTAGATTTGTTGATATCATCCTTCTGGCCAGTATTAAGCGAAGTAAATAAATTTTCGAGGAAAATATGCGAGATTTATGATACAGTAAAATCGATCCTTAACATTTTGTTTGGGTACTCTCGTATTTTTGACTTTTCTAATTGACAATGCGAATGCGTTCGAAGTAAAAACGAACTTCTGTTGGACATGTTGGGGCGGAACATCAATCTCCGAAATCACGCAGAATGTCGTCCAACTCTACCAGATTCAACATCTACCGCTGTCAAAGTGATTAGGGATCCTAACTGCGTATCTGGAGCAAGTCCTAGAACGTTTTGTTCTAGAGAGATCTTGCGGAAAATCTAGTGTCACGTGGGCTTTACGGTGAATCCGTTTGAGACTTATCCTACATGATTAATCCGCGGTAAACCGTAAAGCGGAGTATCCGACGAGAGCCATTACGGCCCGCAACATTAGTGTGTCGGTTTTACGGTGTTACTTCGTTCTATTACTCTTTTACAGGATTTTGCTGCACGAAAGCGCAGTATTATCACAGCTATTTTCCCGTTCAACTCTCTGTAAAACAATATTTATATCGTGCATACTCGTGAGTCCTGTTCTCGAATAAAGATCGATACAAAATATTTTGGGTCAGAATAAACAGTGATATACGGGTGAAACTCTCTCTGAGATTTCAGAGACAAGAAAGAGAGATACATAAATGGCATCACAATACGGTCGATAGGAAATTCCTATCTACTTTATTCTGATGACAAAAAATCACGTCACGATCGATCACGCGGGATTCTCTTCTTTCCAGGACCTGCACACCGTCGACTTGGAAGAGTTCAGACACGGCGGGACCAATATCACTGCCTTTCGACTAGTGGACCCGGAGAAGCCGGAAATCCAGAAGGTAATTCAAGACTGGATCTACGGTGAAAAGCGCTATAATCGCGAGCTTGATATGGGACAGAACAGCAACAAGGTAAGGGTCCGCTTTGCGAGATGCAAGGTATATAACCGGAAATGGATTGCGACCCGCCGTTGCATTTACGGCGCCACACTCAAGTCGTTTATTACGCCGATGCCGATATTTTGCTCTCAAAGTTCTCTCTTTTCGCGGGCATAGAGTATAAATATAAATACGCGCAGGGCAGATACCGACGGGTAGTGTAAGCGTGGGACGTTATGTATGCAAATGCAAAGATCGTTCCACGGACGAAATATGTTCTCCGTCCTTAAAGCGGCCGCGTCTCGCGTAATAACACTCTAATTTTGCATTCTTCGCGCAAGCTCGCCTGACAGCCGCATCGATCTACTTCTTGCTTTTTCCCCGGCACGAAACTTAGCGGCAGTCAGCCCGCGCTCTTTGACGTGGCCGAGAATAACGGAGCGAACGTAATAATTGGGTATTACCCTATTCGAAACTTGACTACCGCCGTGGGAAATTGAATTGCTCGTGACGCGTGCCGATTCTCATAAGAATGCAAATACCGCAAAGGCGACTGCGACTGTCGAGTCTCGTTCTCCATTTCGTCCGCCGAACTATTCGCAACGGTTCGCGTCGACCATTCACGCGCGGATCCACACATGGTTGCGCAAGGTATTCTCGGAATATCGAGTATTAAAGGGTGAAGCCAACAGGCAGAAGCGTCTGCTTCTCTCTCTCTCTCTCTCTCTCTCTCTCTCTCTCTCTCTCTCTCTCTCTCTCT